CCTGACCTGGCACTCAGGCCTATGTGAGACGTGTCGGGGGGCATTCAGCACCCAGGAGCCCCACAAATGGGTACAGACTTTCCAGGAACCAGGTGACCACAGAACAGAGTCCTGGTGTCCAGACTAGCGGGGAGCATGCCCTCGGCACCTGGGGTACGAGGCGAGAGGCTGCTGGAAGTTCAGATGGTCAGGTGTGTCTCCAGGTATCCGCAGGAGTGGGGAAGAGATGCTCTGACAGCAGGGGTGCCCCGATGAATAGATACCCCAAGAGAAGGTGAATGGGGCCCCAAAGGTGCAGAGGAACCAGGTCCCGGCCAGCAGGGTCCCAGAGGCCCTTGGGAGAGGCAGTCAAAGCGGGGAGGGTGCAAGCGGCCCCAGGAGGGACCCTGAGGCCTGGGTCACGGAGAACCCCAGGTCTCTGATGTGGGTGCTGGTGAATGGAATACACACTACACGTGCAGCCAGACGATGGGGAATGTGTTCCCCCGGTCTCCAGGCGAATGGGGTATAATTCACGCAGATACTCCGAGAAGAGGGAATTGCATCCCATGGAGATCCAGACTCACAGCCGCCAGGCAGACCTTCGGAAGATGGAGAGAAGCTCAGGGAACCAGCACTGCGATGCCGACACGCAGAGGAGGGTGCTCACGCGGGTGACAGGGCACAGGCTCCTCAGAGGTTCACATGATGCGTACAGGTCCCCCAGCACGCCAACGATGGGGCACAGGCGCTCGGATGAAGAGGGTGCGGTGAGCCTGAACCAAGGATGACTGGGGCACGCACAGGCTGGGACCCGGTGAGCGGGCATGGGGTGCCCCAGTCCTCGGAGACTGTGGCAAGCCGAGCGCCCGCTCCCGTCCTTGGCCCGGGCCCCGCTGCACGGGGCGCCCCAGCTGAGTGGGATGCGGCAGCCGGGTCAGCGCGGGCAGGGTGCACGCGTGCCGTCCCAGCACGTCTCACGGTTCCTTGCCAGCAGCTCCCGGCTCCCCCAAGCTGGCGACTGCCATGAGTTCCAACCTCAAACATTCCCCAAGCAACCTCAAAGGAAGCATCCCTGTCCAGGAGCCCCGCCAGGGTCTCCATGTGGCTCTTGGCTGCCAAGCCGCCGTCTCGGGGGCCGCAGGGCTGGCCTGGGGCTGCCAGCTCTGTTTGGTTTTCCCCTTCCTGCCCTGGAACCTCAGACGCCCGTCTCGCCACGGAGGCGCCCGGATCTGGGGAAAGGCACAAAGGCCCTACACAGTCAGGCTGGGGAGAGTCGCATGCAGGGCAAACGCGCTGCGGGCTGGATCCCGCCGCCCGTGAGCCCCCATCACGCCCACCCACGCACCTCGCTCCCGCAGCACGGGAGCCTGCATGCCCGCTGCCCTGCCACAGGCCTCCTCTGCGCCCCAGAACTGTTTAGCTGCCTCTTCTAAACCCCCACCTCTGGGTGGGATGAGCAGAGGGACCCAGGCCCTTTTTAGGGGAACACGTGTCCCCAGAGCCACGCGTGACCAGCATGCATGCACGTCCCACCTGTCACATCCCCAAAGCAGCCTCAACCTGGGCTGAGTCTCCCGGAGTCCTGCCCGACGAGCCCTGCGGGCTGGGTAAGCGTTAACCCTCTCCTCGGCGGGCCGTCCGTTGATAGTGGGTTTGGAGAGACACCCTGACCTGGGTGGGCCACTCAGAGCTGGGCCCCTCCAAACCCAGATGTCCCTGTGGCTCGGAACACCCCGCCTTGGGGTGTAGAGCCTTCACGAACCGAGTCCAGCCCCACCTCCCTCCCTCTGCTTCACCCAAAGGTCAGCTCAGATGGGCCGGTACCTCCTCTGCTAAGGCCTCTAGGAGGGCTCCAGACGCCCCAGTCCCAGGGGACCCCTGCAGGGGGCCCCGGGCCGAGACGCCGGGGACTTCGGTCTCGGGAGGGGCCCTCCTCCCAAGGGAGTTCCCCGACTCCTGATGGCCCGAAGCCCTGCCCCCCCTCCCCCCACCAAGGAGAGTTTCTCGGGTCACTAGAGGCCAAGCAAAGCCACAGGCTCCGAGCACGGGATCCAGTGCCCAGTGTCCGAGAGGAAGGCCTGGAGGCCAGGGTGGGGGCACAGGAAGTGCAGGCATCAGGTGAGAGTGTGTGACACCTGCGGGGGGCTGCCACCCCCAACACTTGGGGGCATCTTGCTCTTTCAGAGGGAGGCCCCAAGAAACTTGGTCCTATCAAAGCATAAAAAATTCCAGTTAGACCAAAGGGGGAAGGGGTCAGTCAGCACAGCTTTGATAGGTGCCCAGCTGACAGGGAAGGCCCTCCCCCTGGGAGAGCTGGCATTCCTGACTCAGGGAGGGTGCAGGGTGGAATCCAGCATAACCCCGGCAGGTCTGTCGGAGGGCCAGGGCCCGGAGTGAGCAGGGAGGGCTTCCTGGAGAGGTGGAGCTCACTCAGGTCTCCAAGGCCAAGTAGGATGGGCAGGGGGTGGGAGGGGGTGAGAAGGAGGCCGTCCTGCCCAAAGCAGAGAGTGGAGCAGCTGGGAGGGAGCCCCGGAGGAGGTGGCTGGGGACTGGGGCTCCATTTAGGAAGGATGCCTGTCCCCCTTTCCTGGGAAAAGCAGCCTTAGCACCTGGAGGTTTTTCCCCAGCTGGCCCACAGAAAGTAGACCCCAGGAGGGACCTCCTGCCTTCTGAGGGGTGGCCCAGGCCAGGAGAGCTTCCAGAGGCATGGCACGGGGACAGGGAGAACCGGTCAGCCCTCACAGGACCTGGAGGGCTGCCCCTGGGGCACCTGCCTGCCGGGGGCGGGGGCAGGGTGGGGGGCTCCTGCAAGTTTCCCCCAGGAGCCGGGGCCTGGAGGCTGGACGGTGGCGTAGCTGGGGCCAGTGAAGCAGACGGCGCCACCTGGTGGCTGTGTGCCTGCCGGAACCCTCACCACCACGGGGACAGGTTAGTCCTGAGGGACCCTGCACCTCCCCAGGCTTCAGGGCCCCCCACTGCTTGTGGCTGGTGTGCCTAGGGATCCAGGGTCCTCTCGGGTCAGCTCCCAGGCACCCCGTGTTTCTGGGGCTCAACCTTCACCAGGCTGGCCTGGGAATCCCGCCAAGCCAGCAGCACCAAATTCCTGTGACCCGATGCCCACCGCACCCCGGCCAAGGCCAAGAACAGGACACTAACCGAGCAGGGGTGCGGGGAGAGGCACACACATGCCCACAGAGGCGTGCGCACGCAGCCGCACGCAGGTGCAGGTGTGCACACGTGCTTGCACACACAGATGGAAGTTCTGTGAAGACAAATGACAACTGACCCCACATTCTCAACCGTAAGAACCTCGACTGAAGCTGTTTTCATTCCAGAGCACACCTAGACTGACATTTCAACAAATGAAGATGGGCTTCCAATCCCACAAGGGCAGCCGGGCCTCTCTGCCCTGACCACTGGGCTGCTCCAGGGACCCCTGCGCACTGTCGGTTCTCAGGCCAGCCCATGCCACCAGCCACCACCAGGGGCGCTCTACCCGCTGACCTGGGAGTGTCCTTGGGAGGAGGGTGGGCAGTGGCCAGAGGGGCGGCTGAGACACCTGTGAGTCCCCTGAGTGCACCCCACCGCACCACAGGGGCCTCGCCTGGTGGCCCCCCAGGCAGAACCCGCTCCATAACTTGTGAGGCCCCGGCAGGAAACGTACAGCCTCTAGCTCCAAATGGTTAGAACTGTAAGTTGGCTGCAGCAGGCAGTAGAGCAAGCCGGGCCCTCCTTCTGAGCCAGGGCCGGTGCACAGGCCGCCTGCCGTCCCTTCACTGTGTGTGTGGACGCCCCCGGCCTGGCCTCTGCCCTGCTGCGAGCCTCAGATGGCTTTTCCTCCAAAGACCTCACGGGGACAAGACACGCGTGTTTGCGAGGGAAGGGGAGGCCAAGCTGGGGCCTGGGCCCCCCCGCTTTGAGCTGTGGTCCCTCCTGCAGACAGGTTGGCTTGGTGCTGGCAGTGGGGCATTGATGCTGTGCGCATGGGGGCTGGGGTGGGGTCTCTGAGATCACGGTCCCTCCCCACGCTGGCATGCGGGTGGGCAGGGAGCGCAGAGGGGCAAGAATCGGGCTCCGGTGCCTGGTTATTCCTGGACTGGGGCCCGGGCTTGGTCCTTGTGACCTGGCTGCCCGTGCTCCTGGGAGGAAGGGCGGCTGGGGGAGGCTGAGTCACGGAGACTAGCCGTGGGCCCGGGGTCCCAGCATGCAGGCTGAGCGGGTCCTTGCCAGGCGCGCTCCTCCGGGGGCCCCGGGGTGCAGCGGAGCCGGCCCACCCTCCTTCCCACCCCGAGCAGGCAGGCGGAGCTCTGAAGGGCAGCAGGGCAGGTAGTAGGCAGGAATGTTCTGGCCGCTCCCAGCTACACCCGGCCCTGCCTGCCCCCACCTCACCGTCCTCCCCTGGCGCCAGGAATGCACCTTCAGCCCGGACTGGCTTGCACGGAGTTCCCGCAGGCAGCCGACCCCCACTCCTCAACCCTCCCGTCCCCCATGACCCTAGCAGAGCCCCTACCCCTCAGGGCCTCCATCCCCAGGCTCCCAGTTGCTCCAGGGCCGGGACCCCACATGTAAACACTCTCCACCTATGTCAGTGGCAAACCATGGGGGGCCCGAGGTCGGGGTGGGGGTGCCGGGATGGGACCCCAGCGGCGACCCCCAGGAGGGCCCGGGGCCCAGGGAGAGAGGTCAGGAGGGAGGGGGCTTCCTGGAGGGAGAGGCCCTGCGGGAAGGAGTCGGAGGTCTCCTCCGCGAGGCCTGGCCCGCCTGGCTGGGCGCTAGGGGACGTGGTAGGAGGCCAGGCCTGCAGCAGCTCAGCCCGCACCTTGGCCAAGGCCCAGCGCCCCCCTACCGTCGGTGCCGTTCGGAGCCCTCGCCCCGGCCGCCCCGGGCTGCCTCCTTGCCCAGGCAGACTGAGCTGGCCTCTGCTGGGCAGATGGGACGGTAGGCAGGGGCCCAAGGGGCCACCCTCACAAGTGACCTGGCTGCCCTGGCTGTTTGCTCCAGGCCAGCAGTGAGAGGAGATGAGTCGCCCCCCAGGCCCCCACAGCGCCCGGGCCCCGGTGGGCTCCACGGCTCTCCCCGGGCGCATTCCGGACCTGGTCGCCCAGATCCCCTGTGAGTTTTGGGACCTCTGGAAGGGGAGTGGGGATGGCCTGGCTGGGCGGGGGGCAGCCGCTGTCCATGGATGCCCCTCAGGCCCATCTCTGTGCTCCCCCCCCCCCGCCCCCAGGGCTCCGCTGGGCGCTCATAGCCGCTGCGGTCGTGGCTGGCGTCCTCGTTGTTTCCTGCCTGCTCTGTGCCATCTGCTGCTGCTGCCGCGGCCGCCACAGGAAGGAGCCCAGAGACGAGGAGGCCGTGGGCCTGGGCAGTGCCCGCAGCACCATCAACACGCACCTGGTGAGAAGCGGGCACCCAGCTGGGCCAGTGCCGGCAGGCAGCCCAAGGTCCAGGCTCGGGGGTGAGCTCAGCCCCCAGCATGGTCTGGTCTGCCCAGAGCGGAGGCGGGGGGGCGCCTGGCTGGCAAGGCGATGAACAAGGTGAGGGAGGGCGTGGGCTGCGAGAGCCACAGCAGTTCTGGAGGAGGGCAGTGGCAGAGAGGTGGACTCGGGGCAGTTTCGGCCGGTCCCGCGGAGCTGAGCTGGGATGTGAGCCCTTCTGGTGCCCTGGCCTGGAAGTTTGACCCATCATGGACCCGCTGCCTGGGACGCCGGGGCTCTGATGGGGGCACGGTCCCAGAGCACCTGTCGCCAGCCCCTGTGATACCACCCGGGTGCAGCCAGATGTGGATAAGGAGGAGCCTGGCCCTGGGGGGCCCCAGCAGTGGGAGTGCCTGCAGCTGTCCGTGGAGTACGACTTTGGAAGCCAGGAGGTGAGGGGCCCCGAGGACGTGCAGGATTTTGGAGGGGCGATGGGGGAAGGGTTGGCACTGGGTGCTGGGTTGTGCGGGGCTGACCAGGAAGGGGGCCCTGGCTGAAACACCCCCTGGCTCCTAGATCAAGGTGGGCCTCAGGCAGGCAGTGGACCTGAGGCCCCGGGGCCCAGGCGGCATGGCGGACCCCTACGCCCGCGTCAGCCTGTCCCCTGAGGCCGGGTGCAGGCACGAGACGAAGGTGCGCTGTGGTACCCTCTGCCCCACGTTCGAAGAGACCTGCTCCTTCCACGTGAGTCGGGGCTGGGTGGCCAGGGGCCTCGGCCGGGCAGTGGGGGCTGCTCACACCCCACTCCGCAGGTCGCCCCCGTGGAGCTGCCCCGGACCGCCCTGCGGGTGCAGGTTCTAGACTACAAGCTCTTCTCCTAGCACGGGCTGCTGGGCGCGCTCAGCCTGCCGCTGGGCACCGTGGATCCGCAGCCCGTCCTGGAGCTCTGGCACCCTCTGGGCCCGCCCAGCACTGCCGAGGTGAGCCTGCTGACCCCCGGGCTCCAGTCCCGCCCTGCCCGGTGTGCCCGGCAGGGAAGCTGAGGCCCTTCTTGCTGCCCGCAGCCCGAGCAGTTGGGGGAGGTGTGCTTCTCGCTCCAGTACGTGCCCGGCTCGGGCCGGCTGACCGTGGTCGTGCTGGAGGCCCGAGGCCTGAGCCCGGTTCTGGCAGGCAAGAGCCGGACCTGCCCCTCCACATGGATGGAGGGAACCCTGTCCTCAGCCCTCAGACCTGGGACGCCCTATGACTCCTTTCACTTGCCCAGAGCCCTACGTGAAGGTCCAGCTTGTGCTGAGCCAGAGGAAGTGGAAGAAGAGAAAGACATCTGCCAGGAAGGGCATGGCCACCCCTTACTTCAACAAGACCGTCACCTTCCTTGTGCCTTTCAGCCAGATCCAGGTGGGCTGCCTGGAGGAGGGGGCGGGTGGAACCTCGCTCAGGGCCAAACTGACGTCTATCTTTCTCCCCCTCCCACTGCACCTCTGCCTGCCTCTACCCAGAGCGTGGCTCTGGTGCTGGCCGTCTGGACCTGGGGCCCTCAGTTCCAGGCCAAGCCCGTAAGCAAGGTTCTGCTGGGCGCCCGGGCCTCTGGTCAACCCCCACAGCACTGGGCAGACATGCTGGCCCATGCCCGTCGGCCCAGCACCGCCTGCAGCCGGCCAGGGAGGTGGACCAGGCCCTGGCCTTGCAGCCCCACCTGCGCCTACCCTTGCCTGGCTCCTGAAAGCAGCCCCGGCCCTCGGTCTCCCTGGGCTGGGCCACGGGCCCCGTGCAGGCTGCCCTGGGGACCCACCATAATAAACGCCTTCTCCCCCATGGCTGTGCGTCCTTCCCGAGCCCCGTGGACACAGCAGGGTCAGGGGCTCCACCGACATCGCCAAGGACAAGGAGAGGGTCTCCTCTCCAGGCTCAGCCAGGCCCTGAGGGCTCTGACCCATGCCTGACCCCTGAGTGAGGGTGAAGGGGCCCTTCCTGGCCCAAGGCGGACGATACTGGGAGATGCGAAGCCCTCCCCATCGGTAGCAGCTGGAGAGTGAGGGATGGGCCCCTGGGGACACAGTGGGCAAGTGGGAGATATCTGGGGGACGGTGACAGTGGACAGAGGGGAACCCAATCCCAGGGACCGCCCCAGCACCCGAGGGGCCCCAAACCCTCCAGATGGTGACTGCAGGGCGTCCCCTTCGCGAGCAGCAGGGGGCAGTAGATGCCTTCAGAAGCCGCCCCAGGCCTTTGGGGGCTCAGCCTGGCCCGGAAAGCAGCTCTAATCCCCGCACATCTGGACGACTTTAGCTCTCCCTGACCCTCCCCATGGCCCGAGAAGCCGGCAGGGCTGGGGCCATGCACCCCCAGCTCAGAGGGTGCCAAGTCATGGTTATCCGGATGCCTCTGCTGGGTGGGGGCCCGGGCAGGGGGCGCAGGCCTGGACCGGGGTAAGAAGGGCAGTGCCGGGCCTGCCTGGGGCAGCCAGGCGGGCCCCAGGCCCCCTCGGGTCAGGGAGAGGTTCCCAGGTGGGTGGCGCCGAAATCCTGGGTTTGAAGGATGTGTTCCGAGCTGTGCAGGGAGCTGGCCCGCGGGCAGGGCGGCCCAGGCAAGGCTGCACGTCCGTCCAGGCACCCCCCCATCCTGCTCCTGGGTGGGAAGCTGGGATCACGCCCATGGAGGGAAGCCCTGCCCCAGAGACCCTGGCCACTGCCGCAGGCCCCAGAGGCCGTGTTTGGGGGTCCGGCCTTGCCCCGGGCCAGCTTGGGGACAGGAGGACGGGGCCCGCCCGCGCCGGGGGGCCCTGGGGGGGGGGGGGGGGGGGCAATAAGGAGCAGAGTGCGAGGCTGCTGCTGTTCCCTGGGGGGCCCGGAGCCCTGGGGAAGCCGAGGAAAGCAGTGTGGATCCGGACTCCGAACAGGTGGGGCTGGGCCGGAGTGACGCCTTGGCTGACCCCTGAGCTGTGCGCCACGGCTGGCGAGGCCGTCGTCCTGTCCTCAGGCTCCTTGTAAGATACAAGGGAGGCATCTCGAAGTCATCACTGAGCCCTAAATAGACCAACCCAACCTCAGCACCGCCCCCCCCCCCCCACAACCAAGACTTCTTGGCCTGGAGGGCAGCACGAGGCTGGGCCGGGCCAGGCAGCCTGGGCAGGTGGGGAGGTCCCTGTGCCCCCATTGGTCTGAGGAGGGCTCCATGCCCTTTCTGAGCAGGGGCCCAGCCTGGGGGAGGCCATTTATACCCCTCCCCCTGGGCCCACCAGCCCAACTCGCCGCTGCCGGCCTGACCCCACTCCCAGCGCTGCTGTCCGGACGCGAGGTGAGGCCGGCCCGGAGGCCGGGACAGGCACTGCTGGAGCTCGCTTGCAGGAAGACTTCCCGGGGCGGGGGCCTGGGGGCCAGGGCCGCCGCCAGCAGCCTCTCTGGGGGTCTTCCACGGAGCAGGGGGCGAGAGGGAGATGCCTCCAGAGGCAGGCTGGGGTGGCGAAGGGGCCCCGGGCAGCACCCCGACGGCCAGGCCTCACTGCTGGGACACGGGAAGGGGTTTTACGGATTGAGGGACCCCAGGCCCAACTGGCGGGTCGTTTCTTATATGCACTTGGGGCAGAAGCTGAAAGAGCAGAGCTAAAAATAACCGGTCGCTCCCGCAGCACCTGCGATGGCCGGACCGCCCCTCCCTCGGGGACAGCTGCAGCGACTCCAGGCCCGCCTGGGACATTTTGGGAACACTTTCCTCTTACTCCTCCCCTCCCCCGGGGAATTCCAAGAAGTGTCCCCCAAGGAGGTGGGGGTTGGGCGGGGCTGCGGGGGGGGTTAGTGTGTGGGGCGAGGCGCTGCACCCCCAGAGCTGGGGTCCTGGGCCGGGGCCCTAACACCCCTCCCCTTTCCCTCCCACAGGCTCTAAGCCCAGGACCTCAAGATGGGCGAGTAAGTGTAGCCCCCCAAGCCCGGTGCCCCTGCTGCCCACCCCACTCCCCACTGGGCGAGGGTCTCTGCATCTCTCCGCCAGGCCACCTCCCGCCCGCCCCCATCACACAGCCCCATGGCAGGGCCCTAACCTCTCTTCTCTCTCCCTCCCCCCACCTGCCCCCCTGGGACAGTGAAGAGGTGAGTACCTGCTTGGGGGTGAAACACGGAGGGGGTGGGACCCCCCAACTCAGGAGAGGGCAGAGGTCGGAGTTCCAAGGCCCAGGGAGGCCGCCCAGCCCTCCCCCTTCTGTGAAAATGCCTCACCGCACCCCCACCTCCCCCAACGGAGACAATGACAAATAGAGGAAGTGGCTGCCTGGTGCCCCAATGCTCCCGGAGCAGGGGAAGTGCGGCTGTGGCCTGCTCACCGGGGACTCGCTTCTTCTTTCTGATGGCTGCATCCCCTCCCCCGCCTCCTGGGCCCTGCCAGCATCCCCCTGCCTCAGAAGCACAGCCCCTTCTCCCGACCCCAGTCCTCCCAACCCGAAGGGCCACCGGGGCAAAGGGTCACCGTGCAGCGCCGTGTCCTGGGCCCAGCCTCCCCACCAGGCCCAGGCCCAGCCGCCCCTCGGGCAGGACACCCTGGCTGGACGGCTGAGCCCCGCTGACCCTGACTCTCCCTCCTGCATCTTCTCCCTGCCCTGCAGAAGCGCAACAGAGCCATCACGGCCCGCAGACAGCACCTGAAGGTAGGTGCGGGCCTGGGGAGGGCCGCCCGGGCGTCTGCAGGCTGGCGTGCCCCAGGCCCTCACCACCGCCTACCCCCCGCCCCTCCAAACCCCCCAGAGCGTCATGCTCCAGATCGCGGCCACGGAGCTGGAGAAGGAGGAGAGCCGCCGGGAGACGGAGAAGCAGAGCTACCTGACCGAGCACTGCCCGCCGCTGCACATTCCCGGCTCCATGGCCGAGGTGCAGGTACCCAGGCCCCCACCCCGCCCACCCGGCCGCCCAGCAGCCCCTGCCCACCGCCCCGTCTCCCCCTCGGTCCAGAGGGCAAGCAGGGTGGTCAGGGCGGGCGGAGGCCACCCACCCACCCACGGCGCCCCCCCCAGGAGCTCTGCCAACAGCTGCACGCCAAGATCAACGTGGCCGAGGAGGAGAAGTACGACATGGAGGTGAAGGTGCAGAAGAGCACCAAGGAGGTGAGAGGCCGGGGAGGCGGGCACGGTGCGGGGGGCGCCCCGACCGCGAGGTCTCGGCCCCCGCCGCCTCCCGCCCAGCCTTGCTGCCCGCCCCGCAGCTGGAGGACATGAACCAGAAGCTGTTCGACCTGCGAGGCAAGTTCAAGCGGCCCCCGCTGAGAAGGGTGCGCATGTCGGCCGACGCCATGCTCAAGGCGCTGCTGGGCTCCAAGCACAAGGTGTGCATGGACCTCAGGGCCAACCTCAAGCAGGTCAAGAAGGAGGAAACCGAGAAGGTAGGAGGGTCCCCACCGCGCACCCCGCCTGCCGGGCCGGCTCAGACCCCGGACGGGTCTGCCAGGAGGGGACTGGGAGGGGAAGTGAGGCTGGAGGCGGTGGGCCTGAGCCCTCTCCCGGTGCCCCTGCAGGAGCGGGACCTGCGTGACGTGGGAGACTGGAGGAAGAACATCGAGGAAAAGTCGGGCATGGAGGGCCGCAAGAAGATGTTCGAGTCCGAGTCCTAGGCCGCCGCCGCCCGCTCCCGCCCGAGGCCCTCCGAGCCGGGCTCAGCTCCTGTCAATAAAGGATTCCAATCCCCCGACTGCTCTGCTGTGCTCGGGTCCGGCCCTGCCCCAGCCTCTCTGCCCACGGGCCGCCGTGCGAAGGCCTCTGAGACCGGGGACCCTGGGCTGGGGGTGGAGGAGCCGCACACGGGCTTCGGGGGACTTCGGCTGGGCTGGGAGGGCCACTGCCGGGGCAGGGACCCCACCCACCCGCCTGCCGCCTGCGGCTGCTTGGTGATGTTGGTGTCAGACCCTGTAAGCTTGGACACAGGTGCCCGGGGCCATGGCAGAGCCAGTTCCCTAGATGACCATTGGTCCATTGTCACTGTCACCATGAAGGTCCCCACAGGGCCCAGAGACCCGGTCCCTGTGGCACAAGTCCAGGCAGGGGCCTCGTGGGCCTGTGTCCCGTGCCCTGTGGGCAGCCCCTTCCTCCCAGGCTGCTCCTCCCCAGACCCCCGCCCCCGCCACCAGGGGGCACGCGGGGCAGTCCTGGATCAGCTGGCCCTCCGGGGAGTCTTGAGCTCATGGGGCAGGGGTACGCCGGGTAGGGTCCGTGCTCCCACTGGACACTGATGACAGGCCCAGCTGGCCTGACACCGGACCCAGTGAGAGGGCTAGCGTCTCCCTTCTGCACAGCCCCCGGCCCTGGCCCACGCCACACATCAAGGGACGATGTGGCCGACAGGCCCAGACACAAATGTCACAGCAAGGCCACCGTCAGCCTCGTCTGTGAGGGATGGTGCCGTGGCCCGCCAAGGTCCTGCGCTCAGATCCTTGGTGGGGAGCCCGGGGAGGCCAGGCTGCCGCCACTGATGGAGCGGCCGTCCACCCTGCCCTTGCCCTCAGAGGCCCCAGCGATTGATGTGCCGGGGCCGGAGCCTTGAGCCTCAAGGGACAGACGTCAGCCTGCCCCGCCGGCCTTGGCCAGTGTACTGTTCCCCGGCCCCACGGCAGCCCAGGGCTCAGCTCCGTCCTGCAAGCAGCTCCCCACAGGCCCTGGCTGGGCTCGTCAGGCCCTCGGGCCCAGGCCTGGTGCCTTGGCTGCCTTTCCCGCTCGTGGATGCGGGGTAGAGGGGACCCCTCGACGTTCCAGGCTGAGGCTCAGCCCGTGCGGAGTCCAGAGCAGGCAGGGCAGCCAGTGAATTCAAGGAGCGAGTGGGTTTTGGCAGCGAGAGCTGCCGGTGATAGAGGCAGTACCTGCCTCGGACCCGGCAAAGTGAACCGGGCAGCTGCGCAGGGGCTGCGCCCGCCGGGAAAGGGAGCGCGAATCTATGCCCAGGGCCACGGCGGATGCAGGGGTCCCAGGGATGCGGTTCCCACAGGCAGGACCCAACTTGGTCAGATGTGGAAAATGGTCTTCTTTTCAAAAGGCAAGGGAATGTCAAACACAGAAGTCCAGACAGTGATCCCCCGGGGTGGGGGCCAAGCCGGGGACAGGTGGGGTGGAAACACGGAAGCAGAAGTAGGTTTGGGGGATGATGTTGTAATTCTTGGGCAGAACAGTGGATTTATGGGTGCTTGTTCCATTTTCCAATGAATGAGTGAAGTGAAAGAGGGCCGCGAAGAATGAGTGAATGAGTGAAGTGAAAGAGGGCCATGCAGAGCACACCAAGGCAGTAAGCACCTGGCCAGCGCCGCTCGGCCTGGCTCCACGCCCCTCTGCGCCCCTCTGCCACTGCCCTTGCTGGGTGACCTCGGTGTCCCTGCAGCCGTGTGGACGTGGGGCTGAATGGAGCAATTCTGGGCAAGTGCATAGTCCAGCACCTTCTAGAAAGATCTCTGCAGGGTGGAGAACGGTGGAGGCTGGCGGTGGGAGAGGGGAGAGGGGCCACTGTCACCTCCTGGGGTGGGTGGAAGGTGGTGGTGGATGGAGAGAGATTCGAGAGACGGAGCCCCCAGGACTTGGTGGACGAGGGAGAAGGGGCACCCAGGCCTGTGCTGAAGGGGAGAGGGCGGAGGGCTGTTCTCCAGGACAGGAGCCTGGGGCAGGTGAGGGGCTGGCTTTGGGCTGAGACTTTGGGGGGCTGGGGAACGTGGCAGTTCCCAGGCACAAACAGCTGGGTGCAGGGGTCCGGGCTGGAGATGGGGTCTGGGCGTCCTCAGACGTGAGTACTGGGTGACATCCCTGACAATGGACGGAGCGAGACAGCAACCCCTGGAGGGCGCGAGCTGGACGCAGGGCAGCAGAAGGAGGGCAGCAAAGGTGCAGGGGACACGGCCCGCTCCGTGGGTGATGCTGGAGGTCAGGGAGGGAACGCAGACACAGGAAGCCCCGGGGCACGTGGCTCGGCTGGACAGCGGTGGCAGGCGACGCTGGCGGGCATGCTCCTGCGTGGTGCGGGGCATATGCGGGACTGTGCCCTCAGCTCTCCCCCCAGCCTGCCCCTGCGAGTGCGCCCGGGCCCCCGGGCCTTGGTCCCTACACTGTCCTCCAGGAAGGGACCAGGTCTCCGGGAGGAATGGCTGACCACAGGGACAGCCGGTGCACAGAGAGCCTGCACCCTCTCGGTGAGCCAGAAAGGACGTGGGCAGAACAAACAGAAAACAAAGTCACCGAGGGGAGCCGGTCACAAGGACACAGACCGGCCGGTGAGACGACCGTGGTGTTTCACATCTGCTAGACTGAGGTTGGTGTCTGCACTGTGGTCAGGGGAGAGGGCGGCTCCAGTTTCAGAAAACAGGCCACGAGGGCCTTAGGAGTAGAGGAGGGGAGAGAGTGAGAGGCAGCGACAGCAGGTGACGGAGTTAAAGATGCTCTTTGCGTTCATCTTGAAACTTTTCTGTCAGTTTGAAATCATTTCCCCAGATTAAACTTTTCTTTAAACGTCAAAACAAGAACACTTTTTTTAAAAGATTAATTAAATTTTGGCTGCGTTGGGTCTTTGTTGCTGTGCACGGGCTTTCTCTAGTTGTTTTGAGCGGGGGCTACTCTTCGATGCGGTGCGCGGGCTTCTCATTGCGGTGGCTTCTCGTGTTGTAGAGCACGGGCTCTAGGCGCACGGGCTTCAGTAGTTGTGGCTCGCGGGCTTCAGTAGTTGTGGCTCGCGGGCTCTAGAGCGCAGGCTCAGTAGTTGTGGCGCACGGGCTTAGTTGCTCCGTGGCATGTGGCATCTTCCTGGACCAGGGCTCGAACCCGTGTCCCCTGCATTGGCAGGCGGATTCTTAACCACTGCGCCACCAGGGAAGCCCCTAAACAAGAACACTCTTAAGCAACCGCAAAATAGATGAAGCAAAATCAACAAAGATGAATCGCCCGGACTTCTGAAGATGGAGATGTGGGCAGACGAGCCCAGAGAGCGCGGGAGACCGGGCGGGGCCCGTGGGCTGATGACAGGGCAGTGGGCTTGATGGACGTGGGAGACCCAGACAGGGGTCTCGGGAGGGCTCTGGACACGCCCTTCTTCAGCAGGTTGGGTGAGTGCAGTGGGCCAGAGAGACGGGGCAGGGTGGGCGGTGCCAGCCTGGGGGGGGGGGTTGGGCGGAGCCGAGGGTCCACTAGGAAGTGGGTGGAGCCGTAAGGACTAGTATGGGTTGCGGTCCCCCTGGGTTTCCTGCACCTGTGGGACAGGCCTCCCCTCCCCCTTCACCTGTACCCCCACCTGGCCAGGGGGAAGCCAGCGTGGCCTGGAGGACACAGAGCTTCTCTGTGGCATCCACCTGCAGGGCTTCATGGTGCCTCACCCTCTCTCCAGCTTCGCCCGTGACCACCTGTCCACACCTGTCCCCTTTGGTCCCCAAGCACCAGCTCCATCCAGGCCCAGACCTGCTCCCCCTGCCCCTTAACCAGCAAGCCACAGGCCTCCCTGTCACCCTCCTCCTCACAGCAGCTGGACCTCGGTTCACCTGACAACAAAATGGGTGTGCATGTGAGTATACCCGGCTCACAGGATGGACAGGTGAGGAGGGAGCTCTGGCCCCTTCTGGGAGTCCTCCAGCTGCCCCCAACCTCTCTGCCATGCCACACCCGCCTCAGCGCCAGTTCTGGAAGCGTCTCCTGGGCTCTCCCTCGGCTGCCCCCTCCCCACCTCCTCAAAGAAGCCTTCTGTGAGCCCTCAGCCCCGAGAGCCTGGCACATGGTCCAGGCCATGGTAACCCTGTGTAGAGGGCAGGTAGCCCTCAGGTGGGGCAGGAGTTTGCGTGCCCACTGTCCACATTGGGTCCCAGGGCTCCTCTCACATCTGGCCCTACCTCCGGACCACCCCCATCACCAAAGTCCTTGCTGGACTCCCAGCTTTCATCTTCTGTCGTCCTTGGTGGGGGTGGTGGTGCCCGTAGGAAGACCCTTTGGACAGCTTCTCCCTGCTGTGCCCACGGGGGTCATCGTGGACCCTCCACCTGGGCCCCCTCCTCATGGTTTCTCCTGCTTCCGGAGCCCACTCCCTGACTCCCTGGGGAATTTCTGGCAATTCCAGGCTCACTGCAGCTGCCTGCTTCCAGGGAGACCCGGCCCGTGTGGGGAGTCTCAGCCGCGCCCCTCTGCCTGACCCCCAGACCCCATCAGGTGATACGAGTGTGCACAGACACCTTTATCTGCTCCCCTGTCTCTTCCGCTGTCCCTGTCCCCGGTGGCTCCTGTAACCCACCTGCCGCCCCGGACTCTCACCTTACCTCGTCTCAGTGAATCTGCTCAGCACAGCCACTCCTGGCTGCCTGTCCTCGTCCTCCCGGGCCTCCCTCCGACCTGTCTGTCCCCCGCCCACCCCGCAGACTCCCTGCCCTGTCCCTGTCTGTCCCCAGGCACCTCCGGCTCCAGGACCCAGCTTGCCTGATGGGGAGCGTGGAGGGAGCTGCACCAGCAAACCCTGCAGCTCCCCCCCAGGGCACACACGCAGCACGTGTGCACACGCGCACTGGCTGACTGGCCTGGGAAGCCTGAGCGCAGGAATGAGGGCCAAGCCCCAGCGGGAGACCCTGGGCCTCCCTGCAGCCTGCGGACCCGCTGGCCGTCTCCCTCCCCGCGTCTCTGCTCTCTGCCCACACCCACACGAACGGCCCTGGCCACCTCTGCTTGGGTTTCCACAGCACCTCAGCCCCGGGCGTCCGTGTCCACATCCTCTCGTGCCCCTGACCTTCTTCTGCTTCGCACCTGTGCGTAGTGATGGCGCCCCGGCTGGACCCCTAGCACATCTGGGCACCCCATCTTCTCGCTCCCTGGCCTCTGTACCTCGTGGTGGCAGGAGCTGGCTGGCTGCCCACCACACTGCCCACCTTTTCCTACTGGGCACACACTTTGAGGACAGATGAGGCCATAGACCCACCCCCCCAGCCTCCCTCATGGTCTCCCCGCCCCTCCCCTGCCAGCTGGGACTCTGAGGTCCTCGGAGGGAGGAGCCTGGGGTCACAGCACGAATGTGGACCACCTTCCCGCCCACCGTGGCCTGGACTGGGCTGGTGCTAAGCCCCCGAGGTGTAAGATTGTTTGTTACAGCAGCTTCTTCCTTCCCTGACTAGCACATCCCTGTATCAGTGTCCGGGGCACCCATAAAACAGCACCGCAGCCGGGGCGGCTCTAACAGCAGCGTTCACTGTCCCCAGTCCTGAGGCTGGAATTCCAGATCCAGGTGTGGGCAGGGCTGTTTCCTCCTGAGGCCTCTCTCCTCGGCGTGTAGACAGCCGTCTTCTCCCTGTGTCCTGTGTCTGTGTCCTGACCTCATCTTCCTATAAGGACCCCAGTCCTATGGGACTAGGGCCCCACCCTGGTGACCTCATGTAACCTGATCATCTGCAAAGTCCTTATTTTGTGATAAGCTCACGGGTCCTGGGGGTCAGGACCGGAACATGTGAAATTTTGGGGGCCACAATTCAGCTCACAGACCTCCCAGGCCCCCTCTCTCTCCAGCCGCACCCCCCACCCTGTTGTCTTCAGAGCCTCAACATTTCTCTCCTGGATCAAGACGCCCTTCTCCTCATCCATCCTGCTTCTCCCACTGTCCCCCCTCCAACCCACGGAGCCCCCAGTGGGCTCCTAAACGGTGCTCCTGTGGCCTCTGCCACCCCTCGGCCCTGAAAGGCTGCTTTCCGACCCTCGGCGACATGCCCTCCTCCCACTGGCAGCCGGCCTCAGACCCGTGCTGGCCGACTTGTGCCTGCAGCGCTCCAGATAGACCAGACTGACCACTTCTCCCATCCCCTCCCAGCATCTAGTCACCCAGTGTCACTTTGTCACTTGAGCGTGTGGTCCTGACACTGGTCTCCCTGGGGACCCGTCCCACCTGGGCCTTGGAGGCCACCTGGTCCATGGACCCAGCCGCCCCTGGACGTTCCTCCTTGATGTCCCACAGGCAAGGCAGAGTCAGTGCGTCCCGTGTCTCTCTGTCCCCGTCTGCCTCGCCCAGACCTCCTCGGGGTCTGGGCTCAGCATCTCCGGGGCCAGAAGCCTGCCTGGCGCCCACCCCACCCTCCTGCAGAGCCTGTTGCGTCCGGGCTTCGGACTAGCTCGTTTGCCTAGGTCATTCACTGTGTCGCTGGACGCTGCACTGGGCTTGGGAGTGAGAGGGGGGACTACAAGGGGTCTCTGCCCTCCCAACAGCCCCTCTAGTTTGAGTGAACGATGCCAATGGAACAGATGATGGCGTGTCTGCTTCTTGGGTGGACTCTTAGTTCTTCTGAGGAAGTCCGGCTCTGCTTAACCTGCCAGCAGGGCACAAAGGCCCCCAAACCTGGACACTGGGTCCCCAGGGATGCCTCTTGCTGACCTTGGAGGGAGGAGTGAGAAGGGCGGGTCCAGGGCGCTTTTGTTTGAAGGTGTGAGAGCTTCTAGATACACACACACAAATGGGATCAGTGGGGGCGCAGAGGCTGGAGGGATGGGAAGAGGCCCTGGGATCTGGAGAGGAGCTGAGTGCTGGGGAGAGCAGAGTCTCAGAGCAGGAGCTGGAGCTTGAGAGGGGAGGGGACGGGGCCCGGATGGCAAGACGGGAGATGAGGGCAAGCGGGGGAGGCCTGGATGACCATGGAGGGCCCCCAGATCCCAAGAGCATCCTCGGGCATGGCCGCCATGCGCTCCCACCTCCCACGCGTGGAGAACGGGGTGTCTCCTGCTCTTAGGCCCCAGGAAGTGTCAGATGGGGCGGCTCCAACATCTCCCAGTCTTGGAGGTGCCACGGGAGCTCCTCCTGGGCTCTGAGGGAGAACCTGCTCTGGGCCCCTCCCCCAGCCTCTGGCGGTTTCCTGGGGACCTTTGGTTTGTAGACGCGCCACCCCCACCTCGCTTTGTCTTCACGTGGCGTCTCCCGGCGGGCGAGCCTGCCTGCAAATTTCCCTTTTATAAGGACGCCAGTCACCTCGGATGAGGACCCATCCTAATGACATCCTCACTGATTATATCTGCAATGACCCTATTTCCAAATAAAGTCCCATTCTGAGGTGCTGGCCATGAGGACTCCAACCTATGAATTTGGTGGACATAGTTCAGCCCTTAACAGGAGGGATGAGTCGTTTCTGGGCCTTCGAGGGTGGGGATGGGCAGAGTGGGGAGAGGGCATGCTTTGGAGGACCCCGGGGTCTGGTGAATGCTTGGCAGGCGAGGGCCAGTTCCGAGCCCCCTGAGTGCAGGAGGTGGCAGAGTCCAGGGGCAGCAGAGAGACTGGGGACCCCAATAGTTCAGGAAAGTAAAGAAAACGGCAAGAGAAGACGTGGGGCCTGCAGACGGGGCAGCTCATGCTGGGCCCCAGAAATCGCCTGGAGAACACAGACCAGTGAGGGGTGAGCCAGGCGATGGCCCGAGGCTCTGGGGTAAGAGTGTCCGAGCTCTGGGCACACACCCAGAGCATCTCCCTCCAGAGAGGTCACCATGCCTAACGTGGAGGCTCGGGGACCAGGACGGCGCCCTGTGCTTGGGGCCACCAGCCACGCACAGGTGGGCTTCGGGGCCAGGGCTGCAGGGGGCCCAGGGAGTCCCAGCCCCTGCACCCCTGCACCCACGTCTGCCTCCACCCGGTCCCTCTGTGCCCTCCAGGCCCCTGCAACTTGCTTAACGTTTCCTGATGGCTGTTTTTTTTTCTCCTCTCCTCTTACAGCAACAGATTAAAAAACAACACCCCAACCCAAGCTCCGATATGCTCCAAACCTCAACCTGCCGCCAGAAGGGGGAAGTGAAACCCGGCTGGGGGTGAGGGGAGGCTCCGGGGCAGCCGCCCCAGGAAGCGCTGAGAGCTGCAGCACACACGCACAGCAGGGACCAGCAGGGACCAGCCAGAAGCCAGCCCCAGCCCATGGCCATGGCGGAAGCTCCCAGCCACCCTGGCTCCGAGGAGCTGCTGGTGGAGGAAGGCACAGGGTAAGGCCCGGGCCGGGCCGCGTGAGCGCTGTGGGCCCAAGAAACCTTGGCCGGTACACGTTGCCGGTGGAGGGGGGGGGATGCTTAACTCGGAGGCCAATGGCACCCTTGGGGCTCAGGGGAGGCACACAGGCTGCAGGGGACCCCGTCTCACCCAGGGCAGGAAGACGCCTCTTCTGTCTGCCTCTGCAGCTGGGCCTCACTGGGAGAGTCCGGGTTCCCCACCAGCTAGTGGGATGCTGACCCAGGACCAGGAAGCCTGGACGCCTGGTACAGGTCCAGGATGCGGCCTGGACACCCGGGGAAGAAACCAGGCCGTGGGCGGGCAGTGCCGAAGCCGTGTGGGCAGGAGGTGGGGAGGCCCCAGGCCCGGAAGCCTGGCCTCGGGATCCTCAAAGCCTGTGCCGGAGGCCTGGCCGGGCCCCCTCCCCCAGGCTGCCCCCTCCCGGTGCTGTTGGAGGCCGAGGTTGCCGCAGGTTCTGAGCGCCAGGCAGGCGCCGTTGGTCGGTGGTGGGATGTGAGGGGACACGAGCCGAGGCTGTGCGGCTTGCCAGCGAGAAGGCCCAGACGTGTGGCCGCAGCCAGAGCGGGGCAGAGGAGCTATGTGACCCAGGCTCCCTCAGGAGGCGCACTCCCCGCGGCCCCCCACCCCCACCCGGGCCTGTGCAGGGGCAGAGGAGGAGGGTCCCTGGCTGGGGGAGGGCTGCTGAGGGCAGGCATCCACGCTGAGCCACACCGTGGGGGTCCGACTGCCCCAGGGGGCAGGTGCCAGAGAGATGGAGTGGTCAGGGCTTCGGGAGGGACACGTGTTCTGACAGTCAGGGGTGGGAGCTGTGTGGAGAGAGACCACCAGCCCAGGAGGAAGGGGGCAGGGGCTGCGGCTTCTGCCCCCGCGAGCCGAAGGGAAGGAGCAGGGGCTCCAGGCTGGGGGACACGAGCAGCCACAGCACGGGGCTGGAGCCGCCCGGGGCTGGAGCCGCCCATGGCCGGCCCCCACTTGCCCCAGAGCTGCTGCTGGCGGAGGGGGTCCCACTAGGACCCTCGCTGAGCCCCCGAAGGCAGGGCTCCCCACAGCCTCAGGGTTGACTTGCAAAGTGGATCCAAGCCCAGCTCTTCTGCGTGATTCTGTGATGCTGCCTCTATGGATAACGAGAGGACAGAAACGTGTGCAGGGCGTGCGTGCGTGCGTGCGTGTGTGTGTGTGTGTGCGTGCGTGCGTGTGTGTGGAGGAAGATTGTCTTCTCCATGCTGAATACCACGGGGACCTGGTGCGGGGGCTTCAGGGGGCCGAGCCCTGGGGGAGTGGAGAGGCTGGGCAGCTGGGATCCGGCGGGGGGCTGTTGTTGTGGGGGAAGGGCATGCTAGACGGGACCCATTGCTCGCTTGCCGCCAAGGAGGGGAGGGGGGCACGGCCCAGGCTCTGTGCCCTGAAGACAGCCCCATCCTTCTAGGGAGGCAGGTTGCTCCACACACAGCAGGTGACTGGGGAACAGCTGTGTCCCCGCTCAGAAACGGCTCCGTACGTCAGCGCTGTCCGGCCCTGGGCGCCTCCAGCCACCTCATGCCCATAGAAGGGCACGGCTTGAGCAACCTGGCAGGGCCTGGCCCTCCTTGGCCCCCTCCTTGACCCCCTTCCCAGCTGTCGTGCATGCCGAGGAGAGGGAGGTGGTGGTGGAGGGCACGGCCGCCAGCCCAGGTCGCGGCGGCGCGCTGGTGCCTGTCCCCGGGCCTCGGGCTGCACCTGTGCGGGGTCCATCGGGGGCTCGGTTGGAGAACCGGCTGGACGCACCCCCAGGCCCTTGGAGCCTGGGCGCCCCAGCGACATCACCCCCACGGGGGTGGGTGTGCCGCTGACATTTCAGAGTGAAACTGAGACCCAGGGTGGGTGGGGTTCTCGTTTCACAAGGTGACTAAGGGAAGCAGGGATTTTCCTGTCCGAGGTGAGGGAGAAAGTCCCCGACGCCTAGGCAGGGGACTGAGGCTGGGAAGCCCCGCCCAGGGGCCCCCAGGACAGCCAGGGTCTGCTGGGGTCGGAGCTGAGCAGGTGAGACCTGCCCCCCTGCCCCCCTGCCCCCCATGTGCTGCCCATGGGGGCTTTCAGGTCTGTGGATCCAGGGCAGGCCGTGCCCCTTCAACTGGCCAACTTGGGCCATCCCCTCAGACTGCCCCAGACCCCTCGGGGGCCCCATGTGCACCCCAACCCTCCCCAAGGCCGGACGGAACCACGCTGGGCCCTTCCCCTGTCTGCACCCAGGCAGGACTCCTGCTGCCGCCGGGAGATAGGCTTGTAAGCCCCCTGGGCCGCCCCCTGCCACAGCCCAGCCCCTCCCTGGTTGGCCCGGATGACAGGGTGGTCTCCAGGCCCCTGCCCCTGCCACGTGCTCTTTCTCTGAAACGCCATCAGGCCACGTTTTCCCATGCGTGGAACCACTCACCATGGAGCGCTGAAAATCCGTGCCCCAGGGTGGCCACCCTGGCCTCCCCTCCCCTGCACCTGGCCTCCCCCGCCACCTGGCCTCCCCGCCACCTCGCCTCGCCTCCCCCGCACCTGGCCTCCCCCGCCACCTGGCCTCCCCCGCCACCTGGCCTCCCCGCCACCTGGCCTCCCCCGCCACCTGGCCTCCCCCGCCACCTGGCCTTCCCGCCACCTGGCCTCCCCCGCCACCTGGCCTCCCCAGCTCGACCCAGCTCGACCCAGCTCTGGAAGGTGCCGGTATCATCGCAGACGTTGCACAGGCCCTTCCTCAACCTACCTGGCCGCCCCACCCCCTCTGCAGACTTCCCTCCCCTCCCCCGGGGTGGTCGCTACCCCAGGCTCCCTTCGCATCTGCCACTGCCCGTGGTGGGGGCCGGCGTGGAGCATGGTCTGTCCTCTCCAGCACCCGCCCCGGGTAGGCTGGGCTGCTCTGGCCCTGGATGACCCTGAGTGGGGCGGGATGGGGGGAGCAGGTGTCTCCCTGCCCCAATCGCTGCCTGTCGCTGCCTCAATCACTCCTCTGTGTGCTGAACTAAGGGGGCAGGCAGGGTGGGGACAACTTGCAGGGCCACCCTGGGCAGGGTCCCTTTCCTGGCCATCTGTCCCTGCAGACCCTCTCGGCCTTGCCCTCTGGGCTGCAGGGTCTTCAGGAGAGAGGCCACAGGTCCCCACGGGGCTGCGGGCAGCTGGCAACTGGAGGGAGGGGCTGAGCCAGCCGGGAGGCCTTGCTTGCCTCGGTCCCCCTGAGGGAGCTGGCGGTGGGAGGAGCCTGTGGCATGTGAGAGGCAGAAACCCACGGGTGGGAACCCCCCCACTCAGCCAGGTACCTGGTGGCCCTCCCTCCCTCTTGCCCTCTCCGCAGGACCGGCACCACCTGGTACAGCCGGGCACACGGCCCTGGAGGAGCGGGCAGTGCCAAAAGCCACTCAGGAGGATGGTGGAGCCGGGCGGCATGAGGCCCCGGCCCCGGCAGCAGGCTGATGGGGTGGAGGGATTGGGGGCCGCACGCTGGGGCTCCTTCCCCAGCCCTGCCCAGGGCCCAGACCCAGAGGCAGCAGTCAGAGCTTGGTCAGGCCTTGGGACCCCTGGGTGGACCTGGTCTCCTCCGCCCCACGTCAGGGGTCTCGGGCGCCTGGAAATTTCCCAGGACGGGGGGAGGCCTAGGTCAGCCCAGATGATGGATGCCTTCCTCCTGCGCCCACCTCCTGCCTCCATCTGGACACTTCCCATTCCCTCCTTGGGTGGGGAAGAGGGAGAGGACCTTGACACACATTTGGGGAAGTCGCTGCACGGCCCACCCTGCTGATCTGGGAAGCCGGAAACCCTTCCCTGCATGCCCGCCCCCTTCCTGGTCCCCAGTTCTCTCCTCATAAACAACCCCGGAGCCACCGGGGCAGAGCCAGGAGGGTCTCCGGTCCAGAACGGGCAGGCCCCCCAGGGTGGCATTGTGGGTTTGGGCATTGCTGCCCTCCCTCCGCGACCCCCCTCCCCCGCCTGCCTCTGCCTCAGTATCCCTCAGAGGGTGCCAGAGCAATGGGCCAGCCCTCAGTGGGGAAGATGAGGGTCCTGGCAGCAGCAAGAGGCCCCTGGAGCTGGCAGGCGTGGGGCCGTGAGTGTTGCCTTTGCTCTCCTGGGCTCTGAGTTCCAGGTGCAGGCGGTAGGAGGCGGGTGGGCACAGAGCCCCAGGGCACACGGCACCGGCTGCTGCACCTGGCCTAGTACTTTCTGGGGCGACTGCGCCTTGGCCCTTAGGCCTCAGTTTCCCCATGTACACGGTCAGAGTCACAGTACTCAGCAGTCACTCAGCCACGCCAGCCTCGCCAAGCTCTGCAAGCCAAGGTCCTCACTGTACAGCCAGTGAGGCAGGTGCTAGGGCCTCCCTTTCCAGGGGCAGAAGCTGAGGCTTAAGGGTTGAGCCTGCTGCTAGCATGTGTTTCCTAACGCGGCTTCCCTGCAGCGGCTCCTTGGGGAGCCCAGGCCCCCTGCGACCCGGCTAGGACTCAGGGTGACCCAGGGGTGTCTGGGCTGCCCCTCGTAGGTGCTCAATAACCCCACCACTGCTGGTCCCTGAGGTTCCCATGAAGACGAGGGCCACCCCGAATAGGGCACAGCTCAGAAGACACCCCTAGGGACCTCCTCCAAAGCAGAAAGGGGACTTAGCTTGGCCATAATGAGCTGGTCCTCTCCAGAGCCACCTGGAAAGGAGCCCTCAGCTTCTCTCTCAGGCCCCAGCCCTGAGCCTTTTGCATCTGGGGATCCTCTTTCTAGGGGGGCCCTGGGCCATAAGACAACCAGTGAGGGGAGTCCCCAAAACTCCCCAAACCCTGAGTGCAACCGAGGCAGACAGAGTCAGACCCTCTCTGCCGATGATGAATTGAGACTTAGAGGGGAAAGCACAGGCTGGGGGTGCAGGGCCAGGGGATGTTCAGCCAAACGGGAATCCAGGCCCGTGGTTGGGAAGCCAGCCCAGACCCTGCCCCTTCCCCCATACCCATGAGCCTGAAGGGAGGGGGCTGGGGCCTGT